GGTCACCACGGTGTCCTCCAAGCAATTCTGCACTAAAACTGAATTCAACATTCTTTTTATTCCGGGGTGTTCCCCACCCCCCACCCCGTTCTGCATTACATTCCCTTCCTTCAGTGGTCAGTCCGGTTTTAGCCTGTGTTTGCCTTGGGTTTTTTGGATGCTGTTTTCCCGTGGACTTTGACTATTTCCGCTGTAGTGAAATTCCTTGCACTGACGTTTTTAAAACTGCACGTTAGGCGGAATTTTCCGCAGTAGATTTTTCCTCACCGCGCACAAACCTGACGTTTTCTCCTTCTTACCCCACATTCCCAGAATCCCCAGTTTTTAGCAAGTTCCGAAAATGTGGGGTAAGAAGGGGGAAACTTTGGGTTTGTGCCTGGTGAGGAAAAACCTACTGCGGAAAATTTCACATAATGCACGGTTTTAAAAACTTCAATGCGGGGAATTTCACTACTGTGGAAGTGGTCCTAAATCGTCTCGACTCGAACACTGAGAAAATCTGGAGTGGCGGGCAAATGTGGAAAGGGCCACTATCTTCTTGTGAGATGGATCTCCAACATTGTTAGAAAAGTACTTCAGAATATTATCTCAGCAAGGCGTTAACCAAGATTATGAGAATCCCAGGAATGCTTTTAGGGACTGAGCCTATAACTTAAGTTGCCATGATGACGCTTGCCTACGGGCTTGCAATGTAGGATGGAGAAACACCACCAAATGTTTGCCTTGCTGCTCTTCCATGCTGAGCAACCAGCCACACACCTTTTCTCAGTCCTCCACTTGTGGGCTCCAAAACAGGATTTATGCTGGCATTTTTGGCCACAGAATGGGAGACCACCAAGGAAGGCTCTACAGCAGAAGGCAATGGCAACCCACCTCTGCTTCTCTCTTGCCTTGAAAGCCCCTTGATGGGGTTGCCCTATGTTGGTTGCACTTGACAGCCCATACATACGTACACCCATTATTGTGGCAAGTCTTATGGCGGTCCTTCAAGGCATTCGGTTTTATTACCCCATAGTGCAACTGGGAAGGGTTGAGACAGGGAGACTGTGGGCCAGTTCAGATGCGACATAAACCACAGTTAAGAAGACTTAAGTGTCATTTGGCATGGTGTTTCAATGGATAAACCAAGTTTTAGAGCTGGCTTGCAAACCAGAATCAGACATCGTAGCTGGAAATGGGATGGCAAACCATGTTTGGGGCTACATCTGGTTTGGCATGATTGATGACCACACTGTTGCGGCTTTTGCTGTGCTTCCCGGGGCTATGGATTTACGGAGATGAAAGTGACACTTAATGCTGATAACCGGGGAAATGGTCATGTTCTGACTCTTGCTTCGGGTGCTTCTGAAGCTAGATGGGTGGTAGCCTGAGAGAGGGCCTTCTTAGTCATGGCCCAGGGCTCTTTTTTTTTCTTTCAAAAAGAGGTGCCAGAACTCTCAAGAGGGAAATAAAGTTTTCAATCTGTATACTGAAAACTCATAAACTTTTAAACATTTTAAAAATAATTCTGTCGAACAGGTCCCAGAACTCTGTTCCGGTGCGTTCCCCCAGGAAAAAAACCCCATGGTCATGGCACAAAAATGGTAGAATCTCCTCCCCAGGGATATTCCTTGGCCCCCTACTGTTCACTGTTTCCTACCAGAGGGCGAAGACTTTTTTATATTATCTGGTATTCCTTCAGTGATCCTGCCCTATGTTTTAATTGCCAACCCTGTGTTTTTACGTATCTGTTTTACTCTTGGAGGAGCTGTGTTGGCTCAAGTGGTTAAGACGCTGAACTGCAGGCTGTGGATGATCAGTAGTTCAGCAGTTCAAGACCAGGGTACCGCATGATGGAGTGAACTCCCATCTCTAGTTCCAGCTCCTGCCAACCTAGCAGTTTGAAAGCAAGAAATTGCAAGTAGATAAATAGATACCACTTCGGTGGGAAGGTAACAGCGTTCCGTGCGCCTTGGTGTTTAGTCATGCCGGCCACATGACCATGGAAACGTCTTCGGACAGCGCTGGCTCTTCGGCTTTGAAACGGAGATGAGCACCGCAACCCTAGAGTCGGACTCAACTGGCTTTCGAGCAAGGGAACCTTTACCTTTGCCTTTACTCTTGGTTTTCAAGCGGTTTAATGGCAGGCTTATAATGTTCTGGTTTTTATTTGTTAGCTGCCTTGGCCGGCTCATCAGTTCAAGATGTCCGTGTTCTATTTTAGTGTGCGTTTGGATGACCCCTATCTCTAGGAACTCTCTTTTATAAATGCATCATAATGGCTTCAATGTGGTCCTATCATCAAAGGCAGTTGTGTTCTGCAATAAAATGGAGGAAACTGACTCAGCAGGTCCTTGGAGAGCAAAAAATAGCACCGCATTCATGGAAATTTATCATCCTCAGATGGAAAGCTGAGTGGAACGGAAACTAGCCATCAGCAAAAAAAAACAAATTCTTTTGAGGAAAATTCTGAGTCAAGACAAAACACAGGACAGGGCAAGTCGACTGAGAGAAAGCGTGGTATATTGCTCAGAGTGCCAGAGTGAAAGCTGGGAGACCCACGTTCGAACCCCTCTCTGTCACAGAGGCTGATTGGATGACCTTAGGCCAGCCGCACACTCTCAGCCTAACCTACCTCACTGGGTTGTCATGAGGATTAAAACGGAAGATAGGAGAACAATCTGTTTTGGGGCGAGAAAGGCAAGGCATAAATGAAGCAAACAGTGGCTTGCCTTCAGGGCTACATTCAGCAGAGTCAAGAAGACGGAAAGGTCTGAAAAGCGTGATATAGATGAGAATGGGGGGAAAGGACAATGCAAAATCAATGCTATTCAAAAACATTGGGGCCTCAGAAGGATAAGGGAAGTGATTTGAGTTCTGGCTCGCCACCAGTGCTCCGAAGAAGGCAGTTGGGGAAATAATTTCTGGCCTCCTTCCAAGTCCTTTCGAAGGCCTCCCTACCAACAGGGTTGGTACCTACCACCAGCCCAGTCCCTGCCCCTTGAAAGGAAGGGGGACTCATGAGAGGTGGGGAACTACCCCCGCTGTCAGAATCTCTGGGTTCCACTCCTCCAGACCCCGTTAGCAGACACCACCACAGTGTCAACTCTGTAAAGGGGTAGTCCACCATGGCAACCTTTCCTTTGCCCTACCGTAGTTTCCAGATAGGGTCAGGGGTAGCAGAAGTATTTCCACATACAAATGTCTTGGAAAGCAAGCTGCAAAAAGCATCTTTCAACCACAGCCACCACATTTTAGAATGTACAGCCGGTGCCACCCTTATGTACAAACATAGAGAACGCATTATATTCTCTCTAGTGCTCCCCAGTTGTAATATTTGTTTTACGCAACCCCTGGGTATTATATATATATCTCAGATGGCAGGCTTTGGCATGGTCTGGCCATGCCTCTAATTTCTCCAGAGCTATTTGTTACAGTGTGGTGTGACCAGATATGCCACCCAATTCCTGCCTCATCACAAAGAGGGTGGGCAGGCAGCTTCTTTTTTTAAAAAAACCCTTTAATTGCAGATGCGCATAACTGCTTATTTGGTAGGAGTGGATATGTGGTTATGCGCACATCGCTAACTGCAAAAAAATGGCAGCCGGGGACTGGAAGCTTTGGACCTCACCACGTAGCTTGAGCATGCAACACAGATATCAGATGCCCAGAAATCCACAGTGAGACAAGTTCAGTCGTAAACCCTGGACTTGATCCAGTGTTGGGAAAGTCGAGGGTGAGGATGGGGGGGCCAGTGACTGAGGGATGGGAGGCAGATGTTGCCATCCGATCATGCCCTTCAAATCTGGAAGGGAGCCGTCACGGCATCGGAGCAACCTGCCCGTCTTATCGCAGCCAACTCACTAGAAACCCTTTGGATACTGCAGGGTTATAAACAGCCGTATGAATGGAACTCATGAAAAACTGGTGGTGCTATGGAGCCAACGAATCCTTCCTCTTGCTTCCATACGCCACAAAGACTTTAAAAAAAATCACTAATCTGAAATGAGTTGCGGGTGGGTAGCCATGCTGGTCTGCAGAAAACGTGCGAGATACGAGTCCTCCGGCAGCACCTTGACGATCAACAAGATTTCCAGGGTAGAAGCTTTTATGAGTCAAATATCCCTTCATCAGCTTTGACTCTCAAAAGATTATACTCAGGAAATCTTGCTGGTCTTTAAGGGGCTCCCGGAGGACTCCAATCTTGCTCTAATACAAAAAGATGATCCAAACACATTAAAAAGGGGGGGGGGAGAATGAGGGTGCACTGAAGCACTTCAGAAGACTATACATTTTTGGCCACTGAATTATTTCAATCGCTTCATTTTTTTTAAAAGTGCACTGTCTTGGTTAATGCAGAGGTCTTGCAACACAAAATGCACAGGACAGCTACTGTGGTAAAAATGAAACGAAAAGAATCCAGCCCTCAATTGGTTTCACTGAAGAACTGATAGACTCATAGGAGTGAGACAAAGACGAGCCCCTCTGGCTGAGTGGATCCCAGCACATTAAACCCTTTTTATGACCTGCCCAATCCAGAACGAACAAGACGCCTCACAACAAGAGACATCCGTGCCCCAAGGAACATAATTTAGCTGGCACCAGGAAGTGGACAAAGGTAACCTCCTTGTCTTGAATCTGACAAAGGAAACTGTGACGCTCGAAAGCTTACATCTCAAAATTTTTGTGGGTCTCTATGGTGCTGTTGGATTAATATCTAGCTCTCTTGGTCAAAGCTTTTCACGTCAAGTGAAATGGGTGATTCTATGGGTCCCTAACAGATTCAGGAATTCTGAGCAACGAACTAAAACGTGAGGGGATGCTGGGTCATTCAGTCAGCAAACTCCCATCCTTCTCCACAGACACACAAAACACATCATTCCAGCCTGTTTTCCTGTAACCAAGACCCATAATTGTCACCCAAAGACTTCAGCTCTGAACACAACAGCAAGCCCTTAAAATAAACAGCAAATCAAAACAGCATGTTTGGCAAACGTGACCGAAACATCCAACGTAAGTACCTGTGTGAGTCCTTTGGTGGGCTTTTAAGTGTGAACTCTTTGTATAAACCTTCCGGCACCCGTTAAACTGACAGCGATGAACCCTCTTCTTGTTTTCGGGGGATGCGTCAGACCCCGCCCCTCCTTGCTCGCTGTCGCTGAGCGCACACTTTGTTGTGCTAGCCGGTGCCACTACACCGACCTTGACTGAGCTAAGAGTGGATTTCTTGGCCACTAATTTCAGCGTGACTGTGCCATCTACGGGACAGACAGTCTGTGAGGTCTTTACAAGATGGCGGCTGAGCTCGGGTGAGGACGGAGGCGTTAGTGAGGTCACTGCGTTGAGTTGGGCCTGATTAACGGCAGTATAGCCCTCTGTAGAGGAGCTGGTAGGCTGTAAACTGAGGCAAGTCTCAGAGAGCAGCTTGTCCCGTGAGAGGATAACGTCCATGTTGGCATGTTTGTCACAGGTACTCATATCTATCGGTAACAAGAGGGGATCCAGCCGTTGGATACTGTCTTCTGTGCCTTGAGCAGAGGAGGTATGCAGAAAGCATTCCAAATCGTCCCCAAAGCTCTCCGAGATCTTCCTGGGCTCCGTCTGAAGGTAGCGTTCCAGCTCAAGGCATGTCTACAGAGACAGAAGGGGAAAGAAGCCACCATTAGACAATCAAACCCGGAGGGAGCCGCCCTTGCAAGTGAAGCACGGTCACTGCCCATTCCTCAGTCTGTCTAGGGATAACACACAGTCAGGTTAACAATTATCCATAACGAATGGAGGCAGGAATAATCTGTGGCACAAAGATTGGGCTTATGATTTTTCACATGATAAAACCACAAGTACTACATTCTGTGGGATTAAAATACTCGAATGGCAGCGGGGAGTGTGGTAAAAGGCCCAGGAGAAAGCGAAGCTCTTTGCAGTTGCCTAGCAACCTCAGAAAAAATACTCTTCAGTCCCTAACTTGTGAGTCAATGTCTGCTTTAGAGACACAGCCGAAAGGGACATTTCCTTCCCTCGCCCCCCTCTCTGGACCAAAACAATGTTCAAATAGAAAATTAGTCAGAACTGTGGTAAACTGAGAAACTATATTCTTAGATCACTATAGAAAGAAGTCTGTGGTCAGGCCCAGACGACAACCCAGCCTCAACATGACATATGTTAATTTCCCCCCACATTTTAAAAAATAGATAACCAAACCCCCAAAGGAGCTGGGAAGCCAAGAGTTTGGCGAGGAATGGAGGACAAGAAATGGGGCTTTATCCTTTCCTCTCTTTTTTAAATTACCCCCCTCTCTCCAGCAGCTTTTTGAACTATGAGGGGGGAAATACGGCAAGGACTTCAGCACAGCTATACCCACTAAACACATTGGCTCAGAGGAATGAAACAGACATCTTTTTAACAGCATCCAATTGCCAGCTACAAATCCAGATCCCTGGGGTCAAGATGGTACAGCGCATTAGCCACATCCATATGGAGGTACACAGACGAACAGCAGGCCAGTCCCACCACGTTTTGCAAAGCCTTTTCCCTTCGATTCCCCAGATGCAACTTGCATACCCCAGGCCCAGTAGCGTGCCATCCTCTTCCTCGGGGCTTTTTTTGTAGAAAAAGCCCAGCAGGAACTCATTAACATATTAGGCCACACCCAACAGAAAAAAACAAATTAGCATATTAGGCCACACCCCTGACAGCACAGCTCATTAGCATATTAGGCCACACCCCGCATGTTATCAGAAGTGTGGTCATCCAACCACACCCACCTTTTGCTTCTTATTGTGTTTACCTTGTTTGTTGTCAAAACCCAGGGCCTTTTTTTGTAGCATGAACTTCTTTGCATGTTAGGCCACACACCCCTAATGTAGCCAATCCTAATGATTGTCTGCTGTTAGGTGTGGCCTATTATGCTAATGAGTTCCTGCTGGGCGTGGCCAACTTAGGAGCCAGCCGGAACTCCGTTCCTGTGCGTTCCTGCCCAAAAATAGCCCTGCTTTTCCTGAATTTGGACTACTAGAGCAAGCAGTTAGACAGCTGCATCAACAGAACAGTAAAAGGAATCTGTACAGAATCTTTCCGTACTTCAGGAGTTTCCTTAAAAGAAAAAATAACGACGGCATCACCTCTGGGACGTTATGATCATGTTAAAAAAACAAAATACACGTCCCACTTTACCAAACAGGGGAAGTCTTGGGTTCTGTGGGACTGAGTTAGGGTTACCAAACTCCAGGTGGTCCCTGGAGCTCTCCTACTATTACAGTTGATCTCCAGGCAACCAAGATCAGTTCCCCTGGAGAAAATAGCTCCTTTGGTGGGTTTGTACCCTGCAGAGGTCCCTCCCCTCCCCAAACCCCGCCCTCCCCAGGATCCACCCCTAAAATCTCCAGGTATTTCCCAAGCCAGAGCTGGCAACCCTAGACGAATATGGAGCAGAGGTAGGGTTGCCAAACCCCCTGGTTTGCCTGCCCAGGAAGCCCCCCCCCCAACACCCACAGCCACCCATCTCTCTCCCTTTAAGTGTGTGGAACCCATGTTTCCTACCAAGCCTGATCTCCGCAAGCTTGCAGGGAAATGCCAGCTTCGTGCTCTTAAAAGGGAAATGCGGCTGCTCTTAAAGGGGAAACACTGGCTCCTGCATTTAAAAGGGAAACGCCAGCTCCTTTAAGTGCAGGGAACGGCCGTTTCTGGAGATCTGGCGCACGGGGGGGGGGGCGACGTCCCCAACGTGACGTCATCACGTCAGGGATGCCCCGCCCCCTCCAGGAACGCCCCCAAAGTCCCCCGCTGGGGGTGGAAGATGGACTTGGCAACCCTAAGCAGAGGTCCATCAGTGGCTATTAGCCACAAGGTATAGATAGGGGCTCTGGGGCAAGTGATGCTCTGTCTTCTTGGTGCTTGGGGGGGAGCAACAGTAGGAGGGCTTCTAGTGTCCTGGCTTCACTGGTGGACCTCCTGATGGCACCTGGCATTTCTGGCCACTGTGTGACACAGAGGGTTGGACTGGATGGGCCTTTGGCCTGATCCAACATTGGCGTCTCTTATGTTCTTATGTTCTTATCCCACAGCGGAAGCCAGGTTACTCTAAGGCTGAGTAACGGCCTTACCTATTTCAACTGCATGGCTTGCAACAAACCACAGACTGGGAGATTAAGGTTGCCATTCTCCCAGTGGGGCCAAGGGATCCCCTGATTTCGGGGGGCCCAATTCGCCACGGCCCAGCTGGCCGGCGGGGGAAGCCCCACCCCTGAGAAGCCCCCTCCCAGTGCTGCTGGCACCATGACATCACCTGGGAGTGACGTCACCGTGTTTCCGACGTTGGGGGTGACACGCTAGGTTTAGGGCAAAACTCTATGGTTCCGAGGAGCTGCAGTGGCTTAGAGGTTAGGATGCTGAGCTGCAGACTGGAAGGTATGTAGTTCGGCAGTTCAAGACCCTAGTGACGCACGATGGAGTGAGCTCCCATCTCTGGCCCCATCTCTGGCCAACCTAGCAGTTCAAAAGCAAGAAATTGCAAGTAGATAAACAGGTACTGCTTTGGTGGGAAGCTAACAACGTTCTGTGCACCTTGGCGTTTAGTCATTCCGGCAACATGACCACAGAGAAGTCGTTGGGACAGCGCTGGCTCTTCAGCTTGGAAACGGAGATGAGCGCAGCCCCTAGAGTCAGAATCGACTAGTTTTCGAGCCAGGGAAATCTACGGTTTTGGGCCAAACCCCCCACAGAGTTTTACCCCAAACCTAGAGCGTCACCCCCAATGGCAGAAATGCAATGAAATCACTTCTGGTGACATCATTGCTTTGCGCGCACGCCAGAAGATCTTCAAGGAGGAACCGGGAGGCCCCCCCGCCAGCAGCCGGGTGGGACCTGGCGACCCTATGGGAAATGGAGAAGGGGTGCAAATGCCCAGCCGTAGGGCCAGGCGACTGGGATATTCAGAGCCCCGAGTCCCCCTCCTGTGACATTTTCCATTTCCAGTCACCCTCTGCTTCACAGAAGAGAAAAACAGGCCTCACTGGTCCAGGCGCGCATAACCCACAGGTAGAAAAGGAGGGAAACAGAAGGCAACTAAACTGAGCACCAAGCACACGAAATCTCCTGCTGCTCGGATGTCAGAACGCTGTGTTTGGTCTCCTAACATCCCGTACAGAGGAGAGGGAGCAAGCTGTCCCTTTAAGGCACGGCTCCTCACACCGTCATCCTCCTGACAGGCGTTGAGCCTTTTGTCATTAATTTTCCATAAAGAACAGTTTTCTCTCCACAAGCCCCCCCCTTTTTTTCAGGCAAAGCCTGATGCTTCAGAAACCTATAATTATTCTTGGATCCCACCCCCTGCCGTCTTTGCACCTGTGTCAGTTCAAGATACCAGCTGGACAAGTCTTGCCTTCTGCCTCTGAAATACAAAACCACCTCCCCATCGAGCCCCACTGACCCTTAGGAGGAAAGAAAACAAACCCAAAAAAGGCAATATGTGGGGGGGGGGGAGAGATACAGCTTTTGGAAGACTGCCCCCCACCCAGCTCAGACAAGATTTCCCTCTATAGCAGCAGGGGTGAGTGACAGAGAGGCTCTCTAGCCACATGTGGTCTTCAAAGCACATTCCCACCCCACAACCCCACTAGCCCGTGGGCAATTGTCAGGATCCACGGCGTCTCAGTTTTCATTTTTTAAAAGATCATATGCATTCCGAGCCCCCGTG